CATGCAAATGAAATCTAAATTAAGTATGATACGTACCTATAAACGTAAGGCCCAACTTCTTGGACCTTGATTTTATCATCTATGCCCGCCATGTACTCCTCAGCGTTGGTGATGTTGAAGAGGTACACCTTCGTGTACAGTTCCACCTCCGGCTTCCTCCACATCTCGAAGATTTCACCTCCATCTGATAATACGGCTTTCTGTGGAAAAAAAATCAATAAGAGTGTAAAAAAATCGTATGATAATTTAAAAATCTACAATTTTTCTCTTATTTTGAAAATTATGGAAACTCTTATGCAGTGAACTTTCCGAAATTCCTATAATAACTTTTCAAGAATATATAAAATCACAGAACAAAAAATATAAAATCGTAACAAAATGACTACCAATTTGTGGGAAACTGTTTGACATAGGTATATGTCTTTTTCTTACAAAGTCAAAATCAAGATCAATGGAATATAGGGGAGATAAATCTCAAGTCGAGATTTATAACAGTAAAATCTTACCCAAGAATTGAACCCGACACCAGAGAGAGATTCAGCAATTATATTATGACAGCGACCATAATCAACTAGGCATTTAAGTTAAAAATAAGTTAAAAATTTAATAGTACATAAACAAAAAATATAATAATGCTTTTAAAGGAACAATGGGTAATCTTTATATATATAATTCTTCTGTGAGTGTGTATGTCACTGAACTTCTCTCAAACGACTGGACTGTGTGTTCAAGGGGATGTGGGAATGGTTTAGATTCACAAATCAGCCCGGCAGATGGCGCTGCAGTTGATATTTAGGTTATTTTATCCTAAACAGCTGAACTAATTTGAATGAATTTTTGTTTATACATTCAAGTGGATATATAGGACAACGTCTGTTGGGTCCGCTAGTTTATATATATTATTTTATATTACCTGCTTGAAGAAGAAATCATATGGCTTGGCGAACATGATGAAGCATCCTGCTGAAAGCGCGAAGAATCCGAGCATCAGCTGGATGAACAGACCTGGAAAGATGAGAGAGAAAAAATTAGAATAAAGCAACCAGCAGTCACTAGACAGTTACTACTCCTTTCTGACAAACATCATAAGACTTTTAACTCTTCAGACAAAAAAAAAAACAAAAAAATTACCAATGAATTTCTGCATGAAATCAAGTTCGTTATTCATCAACAGAGCTCAAAATAGATTAGGTGATGTAATTTTTTAGCACGAACGGTGGGTTTACATTTATCAAATGTCAAGCGTGATCTCTACGCTTGGCAGACGGGTTGGAGACCACAGATTAAAATGTATAAGTTTGTCAGAGAACGCTACAGCCCGGTCTTTGTCAAATGTGTAGTCACTTAGTCGAGTATACGATACCCGCGGGAAGAGTACGGGTGCTGACAAATGTATTTCATTCTGATAACAGTTCTCTTAGGGCCATATTCCAACACCAAAGCGATGATGACGGTCGCAAACTACCAAACCAGACACCATACAGACACCTGGAGCGTACGTAAAGAAGCATCAGACCACCAAGGATGGGGCCCAATAGGGCTGATACCGATACGAAGCCGTGGAGGACTTAACTGGTTACCGGCGCTCCAGCTCGATGGGTAGAAGTAGGAACAGGGTGGTTTTTAGTCAGTAAGAAACTGAGTCTTCCCGCATCACCGAGGCGGGAGAAGTCCCCCTTACTAAAAATACACTAGGGTGTGTAAAATACAGACACCATCACTGAGACAGTATCAAAATAGACCTCTAATGCTGACGTCCGAGCTGGTAACGCTACCAGATTGGGCGTCTACCAGCGTCAATGATCCAAAGAGCGGCGTACAATCTGTTGGTAGCGGCGTCTGGTTGGCCCGTCAAGGTGTCCCGTTAAAATATCGCCCTTATAAAAGACTGATTAAATATATATTTTGTAACAATACAATGTCCGAGATTTATGTCACCAACGTACGTGTTATACATCATTAATTTATTTATCTAAATATCAGAGTTTATCTACTATTACCTACAACTTATATGTAATTTTAAACACGTGTTCTTATCCTTATGTAATTTTAATGATACAATAATATTCTTGTACTTATTGAATGTAATATAACGTACGTTTATTGTGAGTTATTTATTTGTTTAATAGGTAGGTACACAAAACTGAAACACAGCACAATAAAGTCAAAGTCAAAGCATTTATTTCAATTAAACCATAATTTGGTACTTTTGAAACGTCAACAAATACAAAATAAATAATAGTCTGTCATTCAGGCCGTCAGTGAAGCTAGGTGAAGCTAGGTGCTCATTCCAAAATGTAGATTCGAATGGAGAAGAACGAGCAAGAAATTACATTCGTTACTCATTTTTAAAAAAGTATGTTCTACAATGTCTCTGATACATACAATACACAACAGAGTAACAATATAAAACTGTAAATATCAGACCATGCTTCCACAAGTATGTGCACACAACATGACATACAATGACTATATTAGTATTTATTCATTAACAACTAGCTTTTGCCCGCGACTTCGTTCGCGCAATCCCGTTCTTTCCCGTACTCGTTCGTGATTTTCGGTAAAAAGTAAAAAAAAATATTGAACGTAAAATATCCTATGTCCGTCTTCTGGTTCTAATCTACCTCCCCACCAATTGTCATCCAAATCGATGTTGTTTGTCCTTGAGTTATAAATAGTGTAACTAACACGACTTTCTTTTATATATATATATATATACCTCTATAAATATAAATATAAACATAACATAACATCACGCCTTTTATCCCCGAAGGGGTAGGCAGAGGTGCACATTATGCCACTATACAATGCAACACCCACTTTTCACTATTTATGTTATGAGGCCCATGTAATAGGAGGTGAGCCTATAAATATAAATATAATATAATATAAGATATATAAGATATGCCCAATCGCAACTAGACTATTTAAATTTAAATAAATACTAACTTATTGTAATAAAAACTCACGATTGTCGACTAACAAGGCAATAAGATACTTGAAAATAAATATTCTATTGCATATAATAAAATAATTATTATAATATTTAACTTTCAAATACTAAGACACAGGTTGTCATAAAAACTTGGTCTATAATCTACCCAATTAGAACTAGGAACTCCATTCATTTGGGTATTAATAATTCAATATTTAAATTTGTATTGTTTAGTCAAACGAGCCACTTTTCTGTCGCTATCGCCGGCGACTTTTGTGTCGTTCTTGACACGCCGAGTTTCATTGACTTGTAGTGATGCAGATGAAGTTGCAGTGGTTAGAAATAAGTAGGAATTAGTGTTAATAAAAAATGAACTGTTTAATCTATTAGGTACAATAGCAACTAGGCTCCTAGATTTGGAAGTTAGCAGTCACCATTACTTTATTTGAGCGAGTATCCTCACAGGTACAACTAGAGAAGTACAGTTCTGTATTTCTTACATAACATCTCGGCTTTTATCTCCGAAAGGGTCGGCAGAGGCGCACATTACGGCACTTAATGCCACTGTACAATGTAACACCCACTTTTCACTATTTATGTCATGAGTCCCATGTAATGCCCGGTATATGGCAATAGATTCAATTCTCACAATTCCAAACTCCGTACTGAGAATGTTTAAAAAACTTAATAATACTTGCCCGGAATTCGCACTTGCGAACAATCGGCCAACGAGGCAGTCTGTAAGCTAGGCTGTATTCCTAATGTTATTTGTTACCTAATAAAACTAAATATTTCTTCAAAGAAACACATTTATGCCCATATAAGCTTATATTACTACTAAGCAACTAAATGGACATCAAAATACGTAGCACGATTATATATAAAAAGTTGCTCAGTTAATCGCTCTTATTAAAAAGTGGCAAGTCTATACATGTCTCTATTAGCATTACGAGTTCTACCAAAATCTATCGAAGGTCTGTGCTATTTTATTTATGGTGCAATAATTCAAGATATTTAGCTTTAAAACTAGCGTAGGTATACCTACACTCATTTTAATAGGTTAACAGTGGGTGAAATCATCAATATAAATAGGTGAAAATATTCCGTTTGGTACCCACATGATGCGCGGGCTTGGACCGGAACCAGACCCGAGTGTACGGTGCGTTGCGTTCAGCGCGCGCCTCAAAGAGCCATCAGACCACCTCAGATGGGGCAACACGGCTGATGCTGATACGGAGCCGCGGAGAACCTAACGGGTAACCGGGGCTCCGGCTCGACGTGCAAGAGAAGGAACGGGGTGGTTTTTAGTCAGTAAGAGTCTGACACTATCCCGCCTCACGCAGGCGGGAGAAGTCATTCGATGATTTAACGGTAACCGAGTCAGACCTGTATTTATTAATTACTTGCTTCTCCCGCGACGTCGTACGCGCAATCCCGTTTTCTCCCGTTCCCGGTATTTTCAATTTTTTTTGTCTTAGGAACCTTCTCCTAATAACACACAAACACAATAAAAAAAGGATTATTGAAACCGGTCTACCCATTCACGCGTGACACCGTGACCAAGGGAAAAAGGGATTTATTTCTCTATTTACTATACATTTATTATTCATAAACACATTATATAGTTAAAAAAATAGAGATGGCCCTTAGTTCAGCTGTGGATTATCCCGAACTGATAATATTATTGTTATTGTTTATAAAATACCAATTTAAATTATATCCTATGATATGGCTCACAAATATAAGTCCGGATCCTATTTGATACAGTTTAAAAACTTAATTTGAAATTGATGATCAATAAAATTAAAGCCAAGTTGTTATTCAAAATATCATAGTCAGGTAACACGTCATTTGTTTTAATAGGGATAATGACTTCTATATCGTTATGTATCTACGTCAGCAAACAAGAAAAATATAAAGAACTAGATTGGTTTTTGTGTCACAAAAAAAAACTCGAAAAATGTTTTTAACTTCTGCGCTCTCTGCCTCGTTGGCCGAGTGGTCGCAAATGCGTCTACGGAGCAAGGGGTCTCGGGCTCGAGTCCCGGGTCGGGCAAAGTAACACTAAGATTTTTTTTTTAAATTTCAATAGTAGCCCGAAGTATTGAGTTGTACCCGGTATATGGCAATAGACTCACCCCCTATTACATAGGGCTCATAACATAAATAGTGAAAAGTGGGTGTTAAATTGTACAGTGGCATTAAGTGCCGTAATGTGCACTTCTGCGTACCTCGTCGGGAATAAAAGGCGTAATGTTATGTAATGTTAGATTTTTTGTGCCACAAAACATATTCTCGAAAATTGATTTTGTTTTCTCGGATGACCTCGGATAAAGTTCTTGAATATTTCAATTATTGATCAGCTGTTTAATCAAAAAACTATTCTATTTGTTTACATAGAAAAATCTCAAAAATTACTGGACCGATTTGAAACATTCTTTCTTTATTGGAAACCTTACTTTTTAAGGAATAATAGAAGCTACTTTTTATATCTAAATAATAGCTTAAATAATGAAAAATAGCATAAAATAAATCTCGCATCATTTAAATATGTAACATTAAAATTTCTCCAATAACAGTATGCCTATGTAACAGACACATTTTATAGCCGATTAGCTGAATATATAATACTTATGTAACATATAGCCAATATACACGGACCTTAAAGCCTACATGCGAATTTTCAAGGTTCGAAAACCTTGAATTTAATAGATAGTAAGAATTTTTGATGAGTCAAAGCATAGTAGTAAGTTTTGGCCATTCCATTATGGTAATGTATATAATATTAGATCAGTAATATTACACATACCTACGACTGCCTCGTTGGCCGAGTGGTCACAAGAGCGAATACCGACCAAGATGTTTCGGGTTCGATTCCCGGGTAGGGCAAAGTATTACTAGGCCTTTAAAAAAAACTCAGTAGTAGCACGGAGTCTGGAATTTTGCCAGGTATATGGCAATAGGCTCACCCCCTATTACATGGGACTCATAACATTATAACATAATTAGTGAAAAGTAGGTGTTAATTCTGTGTGCACCTCTGCATACCCCTTCGGGGATAAAAGGCGTG